TCGTTGCACTAACGGAGATGACGTCTCTGAATCCCGTTGCAAGGAGCGTTTAAAGCGTCTTTGTACCGTTAAATCTCAAGACTAATCCCATCTTTGTTTCATCTACTTAGATATTATCTCTCCCAACGTCCATTGGGGATTGCAGAAAATTTAATTGTTATTTATAATGATCATCGTTGCCCAATATAATGCCATCTCGGACACATACGTATATACATTTGACGCTCTCGTTAGTAAAAAAGCGATGGTAGTTTCTACACTAAACGACTGCCAGGCTTGGATGATTAATTCAAACGCCTGGATTTATTGCGACATTCTCGGTGCGCATATAAGCGGTCAAACCGTAAATGCGCACAAAAGTTGTTTCATTACGGTTCTCGAAGGTGAAGCAATATTCCAATGCGATTTCGAAAGCTTCGATCGATGATACATCCATGGAATCATCTATGCTGAATCGATTGAGTATGTAATTTTGCCGGCAACTCTGCTTTAATCAACGCTTTCATTAATCTTATCAATCGTATCCACCACGGAAAAATATCAGATATTTTCCAACTGATCGAAAGTGGTTCGCCACTTACTAGTCATCCTTTGATTACATAATAGCGAACGATCACGATTAGATTCTGGATTCTTGTGCAAATTTGTATTTCTGAGGCTACAGTTAAAAATATAGGAAATTGTTTCACGTATTATACTGTTGTAGAAGTCATTGCACTTTGAATATAATAGACAATTCTGTATGTTTCTTTTTACGTGCATTTTGTGCAATTTTAAAGCGACTACAAAATCCGTAGTTCAATTATGACATTCATTATTTATAACAAGCTGTTGTAAAATCTTTCTAACAATGACACGCGAAAGGAGAAGAAACTTTTATGCTATAAATGAGCATCTGCTTCGAATCTGTAACAGGAAAGATCACTTTGTAAAATTTTCTTGCTTTTCAATTTACTCCTAAGTGAAAATGACTGTTAAACGCTAGTAAAGCTCAGTTTATCATCAAAGTGGAAAAATTCGTGCGCAAAGATGTTCGAAATTTAGGACTGTTGAATTTTGTCTGAATTCGGACAATTCATTATCATGAGATCATGGAAACACTAAATTTTTTCAATCATTCCAAAGAACTTTGCCATTCAGTCAGTCGTTACCTATTTGAAATATAACAATTTAAAATAGGTTGTTACAAACAATATGTAAAAAAAAAAAAATTTTTGTATATCTTAAATATTATGTATTTAACATTATATTTAATGTATTTATTTTAAAAATTTTTATATAAAAGTGGACATTATAAGTGGCGTAATGATCATGATACAAGTCAATTTTACTTCGAATGAACGAAACAGCAAGTTCAATTTTTGTTCTGATCGATTATGAAATACGATATTCTAAGTATTTCGTAATACTAACAATTTTCACCGCGGATTACGTAAACATGGTTGATGTACCAGCGATAGAAAAAAAAGTAGAGCAAAGGGTCAGCATAGACACGTTTTCTCCGATATTTTCCATCTCGTTAAATGATCGGCTATTTATATTTAATTATTCGTCTGGCCGTCTCACATCGTCAGGATACACGCTTCTCGAGCAATTTAACGGCCCTGCCAGGTGTGTAATTGATAGATTTCGCCTGCGCTGTTAAGACATGCCGGTTTTTAGATCGAATCTCCGTTAACACTAGCAATCACGTTCGTCTACGTTCCTTCCTAGTTATCCAAATTATGCGATTGTGCCAGTCGAACGAACAATTGTCAAAACTTTACTTGTACACATATTTAAGCTGAATATTTAAAAATCCTTATTGCATGTGAGAAACAGTGTGCATACAATATATATATATA